AGAGACCAACCACCAACTCTTGAGTGGAATTGACCATCATATTATAAAGCCCCACGGCTGAAAGGCAAGCATGAAGGGATTCGAGCCACACCCCCCCCCTCCCGACCCGCAGATTATGAGTCGAGTGCCTTAACCACCAGGCCATGCCAGGCTTTTCAATACTGAAAGGCCTTCACGAAACGTAATATAACGCTTGGGCAATTTTGTTGAAAACAATTGGATGGGAATACATGAAGCTTATCGTCAGAGTTCCATGTAAAGTATATAATATTAACTATCACCAGCCTTAGTGTACCTACACATCTGTTGAGTATATATCTCCTTTTCTGGATAACCTTGCTTTTGAAATCAATTAGAAATAGACCACATGGGTGAGAAAAATATTTTATTTAGTAACTTGTTAAATCTGCTTCGCTCTATGTGTTACTTGTAAGAAGTTCGTCTGTAAACACAAAAATATTACACAGCTGACTCTTACGCTTCCAGTCTTATTTCAATTGTAAACTGTTGTTGGGAAATACTTTTCGTTTTCAAGGAAGTAAGTAGCAATCTGCTAAGCCTGACTGTGGCCTCAAAGCGGATACGACGGTCTAAACACTTCACTTGGTATATCTTTAGCTTTGAGACCACTAACAACAGTTATAAGGCACAGTTCAAGAGCCTGGCAAATAAGTGAGCTTGTTAAATGAATTTTAAATTTGGAAGACAATAACGATACTGTCATACATACGCCAGCTACAAGGAACAAACATTTCTTTGTTATATATCAACATGAAACATGAGCGATGGGATTTTAAAAAGTGTAGGCGATGTTGATGTGTGGAACTTGTGCAAACAAAAAAAAAGCCAATATGACTCGTTCTTTTTCAGAAGTTTGTGTATAGTTATTCTCATTGGAAATTGTGTTATACCATACTAACCACACTTTACAATTTCCTTGAATTTATTTACCAAATATGCAATACCTGACTCTTTAAACAAGGCTTCTTGTTTTTACCAAGTTTACAACTTTAAGGAGAGTTAAAGGCATCCCCGGTTAGGGCGCTCGATTCGTAATCTGAGGGTGGTGGGTTCGAACCCCTGCAACTGAACATGCTCTGAAACTTTGCGCGAAATTCAAACCGAACCCAAACCTTTCAGACGTGGGGGCGTTATAATATATCGGTCAATCACCCTATTTGTTGGTAAAAGTTTGTTAGTTTGTAGTTAAGCATAAAGTTATACAATGGGCTATCTCTGCTCTGCCCAGCCACCACAGGTATCGAAACTCGGTTTCTAAAGTTGTAAGTTCACAGACATACCGCTGTGCTACTGGGTCGCGATGTTGGTAAAAGAGTAGCGCAAGAGTTGGCGGTGGATGGTATTGACTAGCTGCTTTCCCTCTAGTCTATCACTGCTAAATTAGGGACGGCTAGAACAGACAGACAGACAGCCCTCGAGTATCTTTGCGCGAAATTCAAACGAAACTAAAAGCATCAAATTACAAGAGAAGATTAGGAAATTAAAGTCATACACCAACAATAATGGTATACCGGGTAACAGAGTTTGACCGTCACTCTTATAATTCATCCACAGTCCCTAAATAGGGAGCAAGATTTTTTTTTATTTGACGATAACGGGGCGAGAACCTCAGATACAAAGTCCAGGTCGTTAACCGCTAGGTCGTGGTTGGCCCTATACTTTGGGATACACAAACTTGGTGTGTGGTTTCGAAGCCCGTTGCTGTGCTGAATGCTATGTTTTTCAGGTTATTTCCTTCTATAGAAAATACTGAAGAATCGCTCTTTCGAAACGTAACGTCCTTTAACCTTACCTCATTTATTAATGTGTAAATGACTTTATTTACCGAAACCTAAACTCTTGGTCCTTCAGTGACTCTTAACTATATCATTTTACCTAGATTTCTGGTAAAGCTGTGTTCAATATGAACCTGACTACTTTCATATATATATATTTATTACACCACTGTTGATTGGTTGGTTTCTGGCCATCACGTAATTTTTCAACAAAAATTGATCGAATTATTGCAAACAGCTATAGTAAAAAAAAAATGTTTTTGCTTTCTGCCTTTAACGCTTATATAGCCATCAAAATTCAAACTGGTTCTTTCTTTAAAGGGGTTTAATATTTTCTCCAGTTTTGGTTACATATTTGCAACCGTTTCTGAGAATGTTCATTATACAAACATTACAAAATAGGTGGAACATCAATGCATCATTATCTTAAGTATTGGAGATAGTCTTCTCTATAGTCTTCAAAATAATCAGTACTTAAAATAAGAACTATTTAAAAGACATTAAATTGGACTTATTATTATTATTCCATACTGATCATCAGGACATACATGTTTAAATTTCTTAGCACTACTATTTATTTGGAAAAGGTTCTTGAGAGAGCTACGAGATTACTCCAAGGATTAAATGGTTATCTTATAGAGATATGGATTAAAGGGTATATCTTATAGAGATGTGGATTAAAGGGTTATCTTATAGATATATGGATTAAAGGGTATATCTTATAGAGATATGGATTAAAGGATTATCTTATAGAGGTGTGGATTAAAGGATTATCTTATAGAGGTGTGGATTAAAGGGTATATCTTATAGAGATGTGGATTAAAGGGTTATCTTATAGATATATGGATTAAAGGGTATATCTTATAGAGATGTGGATTAAAGGGTATATCTTATAGAGATATGGATTAAAGGGTATATCTTATAGAGATATGGATTAAAGGGTTATCATAGAGAGATATGGATTAAAGGGTTATCTTATAGATAGCTTATACAGATAGGAATTAAAGGGTTATCTTATAGAGATAGCTTATACTGATTGGGATTAAAGAGTTATCATATAGAGATAGCTTATACAAATAAGGATTAAAGGGTTATCTTATAGAGATAGCTTATACAGATAGGAATTAAAGGATTATCTTATAGAGATAGCTTATACAGATAAGGATTGAATGGTTATCTTATATAGATAGCTTATATAGATAGGGATTAAAGGGTTATGTTATAGAGATAGCTTATACGGATAGGAATTAAAGGGTTATCTTATAGAGATAGCTTATACAGATAGGAATTAAAGGGTTATCTTATAGAGATAGCTTATACAGATAGGAATTAAAGGGTTATCTTATATAGATAGCTTATACAGATAGGGATTAAAGGGTTATCTTATAGAGATAGCTTATATAGATAGGGATTAAAGGGTTATCTTATAGAGATAGCTTATATAGATAGGGATTAAAGGGTTATCTTATAGAGATAGGGATTAAAGGGTTATCTTATAGATATAGGTTAAGATCTCTTTATTTTCTCATTATAAAAGAAGTTTACAAGATTATCTAGGGGGATCAACAAATCAACAGGATAAATCTGAGTTCCTGGTTCTGTATTCACAAGTCAACAGGGTGAGAGAACTCTGAGTTCCTGGTTCTGTATTCACAAGTCAACAGGGTGAGAGAACTCTGAGTTCCTGGTTCTGTATTCACAAGTCAACAGGGTGAGAGAACACAAGTTTCAGATTTGACAAGACTGGCTATGCTCTAGTTAAGACAGTCTTATTTTTCTAACAGGCTGATTGACTTATGGAATGAGTAGCTGTCAGCAGTAATAGAGGACTTTACAAAAGTTTAAAATGAGAATAAATGATTTCCTGAAAAATAAAGGGTTTGCTTAACGTTTTCTTTTCTCAAGAGTGGGTATACAAGGACGGTCTCCAAGGACCAAATGTTCCCTCATTGTCCATGTGTACAAAGAAATGAAAGTAACCTACATGGGTTTGCTGTATGAATGTTTTTTTCAATGAATTTTATGTCCCGAAGCCCGCAATACAAATAGCCATTCTACATATTTCTGTATCAGTCTTCATGTTTCTATTCTACTATACAATATTTTAATGTTATAATATTTCATGTTTACACACACATCCTTGTGCTAATTTAAGTGTTTGCTTGTTTTTTGTCGTTAAGCATAAAAGCTAAATAATTGGCTATCGGTGCTGTGCCCACCATAAGTTTCAAACTTGACTTTTAACAGCCCAGAGAGTTACCACACTGAGCCCCTTTGGGGAAGGGGGCAATTACTTAAAAGAGTTTGTTTGTTTGTAATTAAGCACAAAGCAACACAATGGGCTATCTATGATCTGCCAACCACGGGTATCGAAACCCAAATTCTAGCACTTTAAGTCCATTTTGTGGAAAACTACATATCTTCAACAATATGTAACTCACACCAGTCTTGGATTTTAAAATAAATGCAATGGATGATAATTATAAGGTGCTTTTTGAGTGGTTTACATTTATTTTTATAATATTTGATTCACTACACATATATATATGTATAATAAGTACAATATTTTACTGTCAAATACACTGATATACACATTAACTTAGCCAAAAAGATAATAAGCTCATACACTTTTGATTTTAGACATATCTTATATATATATATTTCTATTTAGTTTGCCTTATAATTATTTTGTTGTTTTTAGGTAAATTAAAAATATTTCTTGGATTCTTTTTTTGTAATACTTCATTAATATATATATATATATAATACTCAATTTGCCCTCAACTTCAAAATTTAGTTTTTTCTTCTTAAATCACCCACATTTTCAACATCTTTATACAGGTTGTTGCCATATGTGGCCTCATCAGTGCCAGTTCTGGATACTATTGTTTCAATACTGGTGGGAAAATCCACTTCTACGAGTTTACTGCCATTTACTCCTTGATTTTTGTAATATTAGCTTTCATCTTGTTTTTTTTTCGCATTGATCAAGCAATTGGAACCAGGATTAACATTCCTTTGTCAGTAAGTACCATCCTTGTCTTCTGTCTACTTTAATTTGGTTATTTTTATAATTCAGCATCATGTTTACTAAAGTAATGAATCAGTAATAATAATAAAAAAAAATTCTATATCAGGCCAAGACCATAAATAATAGTCAAAAAAGTAATAATAATTATTATAATCACTCTAATTTTTATGGTCTAATAATTAAAAATTAGATGTTAAAGATATGTTTTTATGAGTGCTGGTTGGTTGTTTTTGGCAAGCACAAAGCTCCACAATGGGCTTTCTGAAACCTGGTTTTAGCATCATAAGCTTACAGACTTACCATAGCTACTAGGGGGCAAGATTTTATGGTATTTCAAATTCAAGCACAAGTTTTTGTATTATACTTCTTGCTTGTGATCAACTTGACAAAGAGTTTTTAAAGAAACTTTGAAATTTATTTGTCTACCACTATCAGTAGGAAAGTGTCAATATCTTGAAGTCATTAAATTCTAATATAACAGTTTTTTTTGTCATTAACTGGCAGATCGATAAAGTTTTTGTTTATTTCTACAGCTACTCATCAATGATGCTATCTTGACCATTCTTTACCTTATTGCTGCCATTTTGATGTTTGTTACAATTGGTGCTTGTAATTGGGGTGTTGGAGGAAGAGTGGCTGCAGCAGTAAGTATCATATATTCCTCTGGAAACTTAACATTTATCTTCTAAAACATACCACTACAGACATAAATAATCATGTGTCACATCAGCAGAATAACATTTCTCTTCTAAAACATACCACTAAAGACATAGATCATCATGTGTCACATCAGCAGAATAACATTTCTCTTCTAAAACATACCACTACAGACATAGATAATCATGTGTCACATCAGCAGAATAACATTTCTCTTCTAAAACATACCACTACAGACATAGATAATCATGTGTCACATCAGCAGAATAACATTTCTCTTCAAAAAGATACCACTACAGACATAAATAATCATGTGTCTCATCAGCAGAAGAACATCTCTCTTCAAAAAGATACCACTATAGACATAATAAAATCACGTGTCACATCAGCAGAATGATAATTTTTTGTAGACTTAAATTATTTTCTTTCATCACCAGAACCAGGGTTGCCAACCTTCAATTTTGCTTTTACTGACATACAGACAAACAGTGGTCCCCTTTTTTGTGTAACTGAAACCATTAAAAAAAAACATTTTTGATATTTACAGGTTTACAGACTGTTAAAATATGATTTTTCTCTTACAACCTTATCATAAAACAATGTTAGGTTTGTTTCAAACCTTCAGCATATGGATAGAAGTACAAGCTAAACATTATGATACTAACAATTCACATTCTAATGTTGACTGACCACAGAGTACGGCAACGTGTAAACTAAAGTAATTAATAACCTAGTATCATGTGTGTGTGCACGATTTAATGATGTAACATGTATATATAAACGGTCCTCAATTGTATTCGAAGAATAAAGAAAATATACCAATACTTCACATACAAGTACACATACATAGTCTAACTCTACTGGTTCTTTTATTCCAAAAATGTTTTATGTTTTAGTGTTTCCATCTTACTTTCATATGTATTTTACTTCATTAAAAAAAGGCGTACTTATACAGAACATGTACAAGAAACAAATTATGCAAATAATCCAAGAACAGATATACACTCTAGACTTTAAATGATCCAAGAACAGATACACTCTAGACTTTAAATGATCCAAGAACAGATACACTCAAGACTTTAAATGATCCAAGAACAGATATATACACTCTAGACTTTAAATGATCCAAGAACAGATATACACTCTAGACTTTAAATGATCCAAGAACAGATACACTCTAGACTTTAAATGATCCAAGAACAGATACACTCAAGACTTTAAATAATCCAAGAACAGATACACTCAAGACTTTAAATAATCCAAGAACAGATACACTCAAGACTTTAAATAATCCAAGAACGGATACACTCAAGACTTTAAATAATCCAAGAACGGATACACTCAAGACTTTAAATGATCTACGAACAGATACACTCAAGACTTTAAATAATCCAAGAACAGATACACTCTAGACTTTAAATAATCCAAGAACGGATACACTCTAGACTTTAAATAATCCAAGAACGGATACACTCAAGACTATCATAATAAAGCTCCTCCTGTTTGACTTTCATAAAATACATTTACCTATTTTAGTTTTTTGGTATTTGAAGCTATTTCAGTAATAAATCACATCTTCCCCTAAGGAGAAAACTATTATAATACAGGCACATGAAAAGATTTTTATTAAAAATAAGGCAGAAAAATCCTAAAAAGTATGAGATCTACTTATGTGTTCTTATTACATAGGTTGACTGGATCTGCTGATAATGTACTGTGATTTCTGAATCACTTTTCATATTAATAGGAGAATATTGCTTTAATTTTCAGTGTCTTAATTTCAAGATGTAACAAACATAAAACATTTGTGATATCAATTTATTGGCTCACGAGTTATAAGACGACACATACACAGAGTTTTGTCAAATACTGGTTTAAAGTAAATATTATATTGTTTCATCACTGAAAAAAAAAGAGGAACTTACCATTTTGAAATTCTAAAACCTTCTGTAAGTGGTTAAAGTACCGGAGCTTCGAATACTCGTTACTGATGTTTATGTTCTCACGTTTTTCAAGAACCGAGCCAGATGTAACCTCCCAGTTTTTTGTTTTCCAGATTTTTGGAGTCTTGGGATTTCTTACACATGGGTATCATGCATTCTTAGACTATGGGTGGGTCAGAGGACGTACAAGCAGCCAGCCTCAACCTACGGGAAACAAAGGAGACCCTGCTTAAAAGATAGCAGAAGATTGAATCATAGCTACTGTAATGGTTAAAGGTGAAACTTATTTTGTCAAATTTTTATCTACTCAGTTGCATATTTTCAAAAGCAACTTCTGTTCATTTTAAAAGAGAATAAAACTTTATTAATTAAAACAAAAATATATAGAAGTTTATTTAAGGTAAATGTTTAGTCCCATTGGGTTAGTGTTTAAAAACCACTTTGGGTAATAAGTATAAAAATTATTGTTGGTCTCTTAAAGTAAAGATTATGGAAATTCCACAGTTTTAAACATAACTGTACAACCTAAACTAGTACCTGAACACAATCAGAGACTTTCAATTTCTCATTTCCACATCTGTTCTCTCAGTAAATTATAACATTTCTCACTGCATATAAAAAAAAACATGGATTTATCTCACAGACACTGGTTACATCTCAGAACATCCAAAAGAACAACTGAAGGTTTCTAAATCGATGCCTTTGTTCACTTTCTTCAAACATTGCGTGGATGATGAAAAAAAAATGGCAATTTGTTGTAATGTTATGCTTCAGTCAAAGAACGTAAAACAGTATTTTCTACATGAATAATACTAAGATAAGGATGTAACAATTATTATAAGTTTTGTAATTTAAAAAAAATGTTTTTATTGAATAAGGAATTCAGAAATCGAAACACTGTAGTATAAAGAAATTAAATCAGAACATTCATTTTTCAATATTGTGAGATCATATAAAGCAATACTAAAGCTCATTATTTATAAAGCTCATTTATTCATAAGAACTTATGAATAAATAAAATATGTAAGAATATGTCAACCACATATTCTGTGTCCATAAGGCTTTTCGCCCAATTCCAGAATTGTATCACTCAAATGACATCTAAAATTATTCTTGATATCATTACAGGTTCTTACCTATATACAAAAATAAAATGAATATATAACACAGCCCCCATAATACTGTATAATGTGTGCATCTTCATTTTTTTGTCGTTCATGTTTTTGATTTGTAATTGTGGCAGAAACTGCTCGACAAAAACTGGCTCAAGTGCCAGATTGGCAAACTTTTATGTGATAAAAACATGTTATATTTCTTTTGGTAATTATCAATAACTTCTGAAGCAAGCAATTTAACATATCAGTCTAACTAACATTATGAATATTGTCATAAAACAAAATTCGTAGCATTCGGAATGATTCAACAGTTGGTACCATGTTTATTTTGGGTATAATCCCATTAGTATGTGACAGGGATAAAAGATTTAAGTTCATGTACTAATCATACACTAAGTTAACAATACAGGACAATCTGGAGAAGTATATAAAAAATTAAATAATGATATAAACACACACATTAATCATTTTGACAAATACTTTTGATAAAATTATATTTATTTATTTCACTGCCATTGGAACACAAGGATCCCCCTCCAGAGCACTGCCATGTCAGTTGGGATTTTTATATCGCACACGAAGAAAGGACATTCCCCTTCAAACTTCCCAAAGTTTATCAGTTTCAAGTTTCTGATAAATAATTAAATATAAAAACACCCATCTTTATATTCTTTTCACTGTGTATCTAAAAATATACCCGACACTGAGAGTGTTTATAAATGTGGCAGTGAAATAGAGTTAAAGAAAGAATGGCACAGAAGACTCATAAACACCGGTAGTTTGCTTCATGTATTTTCTGTAATTTTGCCATCTATAGAAAAGTGCAACACTAGTGTAACTAATATAGATAAGCTTAACATCCAAGATAAATGAATACAAACATTAAAGTTTAGCTCTAGAGCCACTAACAGGTTGGTAGAGATAATATGGTAAAAAATTAATATATTTTGTTTCAGGCTTACTGTGATGAATAAATGTATATTATAAAGTTCAGTGATTAGGCATTACTTAATCACACACATAAAAATATTAATTTTCCATTAATAATTGTTCACTTACAGCATTTATTAACTTTTTGACATTTTGTGAGGTATTACAAAGTAAAGTATGAAGTAGAATAAAGTAGATTCATATTTTGCTACTTTATATTCTACTATGTCATTTAACAGAGATTCATGTGATGGTTAATAACTTTAAATTTAAAAAAGTTTGTAACGAAAAATGGTAATTTTTATATAACCCTCAAATCGACTTTCAACGATTTTCAGAATTTATTCTATAACAGTTTCAAATGGCAGAGCCTTCTCACACTCTACATTTTCTCATTAAAAAAAATTGGTAGTAAAGTGAATATCAGATACCTTATATAACTTTCTCACATTTTAATATCCATTTTCTCACTACCACTTTGGTGTGCCAAAAATACTTCTTTCCAGCTGATTCAAACATCTGTTTGATCATTAAAAAATTTGGAGAAATTTCATAGTTCGAGGGCCCTGCCAAACTTTCTGTCATACATGTGACATCACCATCAGCTTAAAGAACTCATACTCAAAACCTTATTTCCATTTCTGAACACCCTGGCAGGACTGTTAGTAGTTAGAGCTCTGGTTTTTCACTAAACAGGCACTTTTTTAACCAGTTGAATTAAAATAAAATTGATATTTTAAGCAAGTGTTACAGCATTATTAGTTATAACCACCATTAATAGTACTTTTTGTTTTCTTTGTTCTACATTTTTACTTTTTTTGTGAAAAAATAAATCACCCTTTAAAGGTTTAGGTTTTGTAGGTTTTCTCCAATTGTTTCTTGTTGATCCAAGGTGCTAACGTATTCCAAATGTATTTTTAACTGTGAAATGTTTACAATGACCTCATAGGTGAAGAAGACAAAAAAACTGTTGAAAATATATTTTTGTCAAATTTAATCATGCTATCTGTATTTCTATGGACTATGAAGAATCACTATGTTGTTTGTATCTCTTTTTTCTGTTTTCTTGGAGTAACAACGAAATTAAGTTTTAAATTTTACTTCAGATTTAAAGTTAACAAAAAATTAACATTTACTATTAACTTACAGGCAGTTTACTAGATCGGTTAAACAGAAAGCAGCTTGTTTGAAAAGTTACGATAAAAACTTTAAATGTGATCTTTAATGCATGAATATTCCTTCACTCAGGTAACTCCGTAAAACAAATGTTTTTTAATTATTAAAACTAACAATGTAAGTTATCTCAGATCCTCTATTTCATTTTATAGTTATTCGTTTAAATGTTGAAGATGTTAAAAACACTAACATAACAGCCAAATTTGTTTATTGTATAATTTCTTAAAAATTTGTTATCAAATGACTTTCAAATGTTTCATTTGTACAAATTATGTTAATGATGTTAAAATTTGTTTTCATTTTAAACTTCTGTCTTAAAATTATGTAGACTACTCTTTTAAAACTGTATTAAAACACTAAGTAAGAAATTACTTTAAATTATACATACTATTAAATATAGTATATGCTCAGGCAGTAAGAAACTGGGACAAAAAATGAATTTATAAAATGAAAGAGTTTATATAAAATATTTTGTTTTGGATGATACATATATTGCTCTCCTAACAAAAAGTCTCCTTGATAAAAATTGTTTTTTAAGTATATCAATGTTTTTTTTGTAATTCTAACCTGTAATAAAAATATATATATATGTAATAACAACTGTGTGGACAATAAAAAATATACAATAAATGTAAGTGTAAAGCTTCTTAAGCTAAACTTGTTCAGGTTAAGTAACACTTAAATAATTTGAAAATCAAAATCTATGTTCTAAAGTCAGTGGTTAAATTGGGATTTTGAACGAGGTGGAACTTCCTTTTGCGATCCACTTTGACATTCTCATTACATCCTTTAATCCTCATCAGGCAGGACTGAGAATTTGCCCCGATATGACCCCTGTCTAAAATTCTGAAAAATAATACCAAAAGGAAAATTATCATGGATATATATCAAGTTTAATACCATTGATGTGTTCATTTTGGTTTCTTTCTTGATCACAATGTCATTCTACTCAAAACCTGTTTTACCTTAACAACATGTTAATATGTTACCAGTCTGTTATCGAGTAGTATCCTTCCAAAACTTATTTTAAATCTAGATTCTCAATTTGTAAACAATAATATTCGAGTAGTAGTTTTTGGATTTTATACGGACAAGTTAAATGCAGATTTTTTTTTTGATCTACTGGTTTTCAACATTTGAAAAACACATTTTTTTTCAATTTAAACAACTATAAGAACAGAAGACTAAGTCTGTAAAAAAACTCAGATATTTAAAAAATAATACATAGCAACAATATCTGTAATCACTGGAGGGTGTCAAGGTCAAAGGTTAATACATTAGGGAAATAATATTAGGTATTCAGAGGGTGATTTCATTCATACAACATTCTATGTTGTAGAGTTAATTTTTCAAGGCCACATTTTATTTTTCTGTATTAAGTTATCCTTGTGATTTGTATCCTTTAAAGATAGATTAAAAAAACTTATTGCATGTCAAAGTTACTGAGGGTGTAACTGCCCCCCCCCCAATAATGTCTGACATTGCTTATAATATCATATTAAGAGGTAACCCCAATACATTTATTGATAAAATACCTTAGAAATAAAACTGATACAGAAAGTTGGAGTCATCACAGAAACACTATAAAATAGAGAAAAACAAAATTCCAAAAAACTATACTCTTTAGTTATTAGCTTTCTAGAGTGCCCACGGTTATTAACCATGAGGTCTTAATTACTTTCCTTTTTTTATTTCAAACATTTCCAGTTAAAATGATATTCAATTATATGTTAAACATAAGATAAAGATTCCTATTTTAAACAGTTTTCATGGTTCTCTCTTGTCTTGAAGGTTTGTTTTTCGGAGTATCTTTTCAATATAAGGGAGAGAAGTTTCCTAAGAACCTTGGAGTTTTTAATTTTTTATAAAAGTTTTGCCTCTCCGATGCTATACTCAGTTGTTAAGATATACCATTATTATCTTAATTGCACTTTATGCAAACTGAAGTTAAACAGTCATTAGTGAATTGTTTCTGTTCGCATAATCAACATCTGTTGTGGTAAAGTAAACAAATATGCAAACGTTCGACATAAAACATACCAAGAATTTTATTTAAGAGCATTAGGAATAATGTATGCTATATATATTTAACTGCCCTTGCCCCACTTTTTAAAAACAAATCTAGAGAGTTCAATTTGGCAATTTTCAATTAAATGTTTACTTATTTTGGATTTTATGATGCATGCCTGGCAGTAAAACAACCTTTCCAGGATTAAGAATATTTAGTGGATCTAAAGCTTTTTTAATTTGCTGCATAGTCCAGATAACATCGGGCCCAAATTCCTTCTCTAGAAATTCTGTTCGGACCATTCCAATTCCATGTTCTCCTGTACAGGTTCCACCAGCATCCAAGGCTCTCCTGCAAGCATTAAAACTGTTACAACTCTTCAAGAAATATCCAAAAACAATTAATATTCACACATTTTTTATATTTTTTTATTTTATGTATAGACCATAAATAGATTTTCTTGTTCCTCTATATGAGTTATCCATTTCTTTAATACTGGGTTAATATTTTTACTTTTATTACTAAAAGTTGATCTTATTTCATTTGGAATGTTATTATAACATTTAGGTGCTTGATATAAACAACTTGTTTTTAAAGATTTCTTTATTTATTTTAGAATGTTTTAAGATCCCTTGTTCCTCAGTTCTTGTTTGAAATATTGATTTTATTTTTTGCTGGTTTTGAACACCTTTAGTGAATCTATTTATTGTTTGGTAGATATATAATTTAGTATATTTAAATTTTGAAAATGTTATTTAGTATGATTATATTGTGGTAATAATATTTTTTGTAACTGTATTAAAACTCAAATTTGTTAGATAGGTATCTCCTCAACAGATGATACCATGTTGTAGATTTGAATCAAACCAAATTTAAAAAACAGACAAATGTTTTAATTAGTAAAACCTTATTGCTGATATCTTAAATTTTTTCATATTAATTTAATATATTCTTTCAAATTTAATCTATAGCCTAATATTACTCCAAAATACTTAATACTTTCTGATTTTTGTAGGATTTAATTAATATTTATATTATTCTTGACAGATAAATATTTACAAATACAGTTCTCATAAGTTATCAATTCACTTAGAATTTTTTCATTTATAGAAAATTCCATATATATATATATACTGTTTTCTTTACATTTGAACACAATGAATTATTATTAAACCATTTCCTTATGCAATTTAAATCATTATTTATTTTTGATTACCTCATTACGAGACTTTTCATTATAGATTAACACTGAGTCATCTGTAAAAACATATTTTCCATTAAACTTAATTTCACAGAAATAATTTAAATATAATAAATATTAAATACAACAACAATAGACTCAATACTGATCCTTGGGGTGCTCCAGAATTAAGTTCATTATTATAACACTGATTATTTTAACTACTTGTTTTCTTTTTAATATAAATGATTTAAACCAACTTAAAAATTTACCACACGACAATTACATTCTTTATGAGATGAAGGCAAAACAATAAGTGTGAAGTACTTTAAAAGATTTGACAGAGATTAAAAATTGAGAATATACATGTATTGGGCCAAAGGGCACTGACAGGCATAATTAGCTTATTGTATATAAAAGTTTTTGTGAATAATGTGGCCCACTCTTTTTTGTAAATTATTTAATAAGAATATCAGACATTAATAAATAACGAGAGAAACCGGAACCTCTAAAAGTTATCTACAAGTTAGTAAAAAGAGTGGTTAATGTAGCTATCTTTAGAGGACATGGAAGTGTTACGTCTCCGTTTGTTAATTAACTTTCCGTAACTTCGTTCCGACAAAACTTTAGCAACACAAGTTCTTTACTTAATAAAACTGGTTTATTCTTTCCGAATACAACTTTACGATACACTTATTTTCAACAATCGCGCTAAAACAAACGCTATATCAACGAACGTCAATAATACTTCTGACTGCAGTTCAATTACTCACTATCTACTCACACATTACCTTACATTCCCCTCTTTTATATACCAGCCTACCCTATCTAGTAAATACTAGAGCATTCGCCAAGATACGGGATAGTTCTAGAAACTAGAGGGCGTGAGAATAGTCACGTCATCTCGATGACGCAACAGAAGATTAACTCACCTAATTAAGTGTAAAATTAAACAGTGGTTAAATTATTTAAAATGCATAACTCCAGATTGGTCAAAGCATGCTATGTTTTGTTAAACATTTAACTGAGCTGTAAAAATTAAGAATATGTTTTTCACATCTGATTTTGGAGCTGTATGGATAATGTAAGATGTAAGTAAAGATTTTTTTTTTAACCATTACATATAATTTTAAAGTGGAATAATGGTTCCAACAGAATTAAAAAACTTGTGATGTTTACGGAAAAACAAGATCTTGAACCTGTAAAATATTTACTACTTGATATCTTCAAAAGATTTATATTTATATTAAATTTAAAATCAGTTATCATAATCTCCAAAGAGAAATTAGCAGACACATAGACATAGACAGATTGGCCACAAAAATTTTCTTCTTATCATCTTGCTATTAATATTTTTGTTAGTTTCATACAAATTGAGTACCTTGCATTACTAATTTGTCTACAGTTTGATAAATTTCTTAATGAAACTATTCTAGTTAATTAGCTAAAGTCAAATAATTTATTAAATCAATAACAGCACACAATAAGTTTTATTAAAACACACTAATTTTCTAAAAACGATAAGATAAAATTAACAAAGAGTTGTATAAAACCCTTATAGATGAGACGAGGTTAAGGCCTAGATCGTTTGAAGAATAAAGTTAAAAACTTAAAACAAAAATTCATACTTGGTACACTTACATAGTGATCTTGTTTTTCAAATTGATAACCTGCTCAAGAGCTGAATCATCAAATGGAGGGTAAAGCACTAAACAGTGAAAGTTGCCATCTCCGACATGGCCCAGTACTATGCCTATAGGAAAGGAAATGTAGAAGAAAGTTGTTTTTTTTTACATACTACCTAGAAAGTATCGGACAAAAGTACAGCTTTATAATTATTATTGTACATATCCCCTCTCATAAGTAACATATGGAAGTTTTACAATGCTAAGAAATAACAACTGTACTGTCACATTTAAGCTAAGATTTTATTTTTACATAGACTAGTCTTTGAGAAACTTCTGGTTGTTAAAATTAATCTCAAGTAACTAAAAACTATTTCATTTATTTTAGTGAATTTAATTTTGTGGCCTAATACTTTCATAAGCGATGTCCACTCCATGATATTATCCATGACATAGACTCCACAAGATCAGAAAAATTTGTATTTCTTTATCGTATCTCACTCAGTGAGGTGCATGAACTGCAACCATTTCACAAATGTCAGCAGAAGATTACAGTGGCATATCCAGTGGTCAAAAAGATAAAAGATATGACAAGGAATGCTAAAGACAAAATAGAATTAACAGATAAGACAGGTATATACAAGATAGAATGTGAATGTGGTAGTGTTTATATTGGTCAAACAAAAGGAAATTTAAAATATAGATTGTAAGAACACAAAAGTTACATAAGAAATAATAAAATAAAAATTTCAGCTATAGCCAAACATGTAAAAAACTACCCAACATACAGTGTTATGGGAAAAAAACTTTAGTTTTAGCTCAGCCTCGAAGTTTTATATCATTAAATCTTAGAGAAACAATAGAAATAACGAAATATAAAAAACAAAACCAAGTATTAAACAGAGATGAAGGACCAGCAATTCAATACATTGATATATGGCGAGATACATTATAATTTTTTTTTGAATTACACTAAGGAAATATGCAAATAACAATGAAGTAATGCGACAAGGGGAAAGTATACAATAATCTTATAAGTTACTCCCGAGGATGACATAGATCACGTGTACGTGTAGAGTGATATTTGTATTTTAAAGTAGAAGTCGTACGGCTTCAATAAAGTTTTTATTGTGTAAATATAAAACATTGTTTATAATTACTTATCATAATTTTATAAAAATTAAGCACAAGTGCCGATAGTGCATACTACTGGTGATGTTTCCATCTTTAAAGGAGCATGTGAAAAAATACTAAAAATATCACTTTAGAGTAAAAAACTGATGTGAAGTCTTCAGCACGGTTGAAGTTGAATTATATATCTGAAGAATATAAAACTTATAATGAAAACCATACAACTTAAGTGTTAATTTAACTACGTGGTTTTTTAACAACTGAAAAACAAAATTACTTTCAACCATTTAGTACTGTAATATTGGGAAGAAAAAAAACACAAAATGTTAATAACGGACACTAGAAGAGTTGATGTAACTAAAATTAACAGAAGGATTAGACTTTTCAAGATGGGATTCCACTAGGTTTTATTAACAAATATACACATAAATTTGACACAATGTAGTTAATTCATACCTGTAAACCCCGACTTTTCAATATCGTGCTTACTCTGAACAACTACTTCTGAGAGCTTTGAAATTGGAACACATGCATCAGTAACAATGACCTAACAAAACAAGATTCAGAAGGCTACATTAGAATTATCTTCATAGACGTATTCCAAATGTTTATCATTGTCTCTGGGTGACACTAGTGATAAGAAAAAGAAATCTAAAGTTTCACTGCACAAGTGACTGGCCAAAATCTAAAGTTTTACTGTACAAATGACTGGCCAAAATCTAAAGTTTTACTGTACAAGTGACTAGCCAAAATCTAAAGTTTTACTGTACATGTGACTAGCCAAAATCTAAAGTTTTACTGTACAAGTGACTGGCCAAAATCTAAAGTTTTACTGTACAAGTGACTGGCCAAAATCTAAAGCTTTACTGTACAAGTGACTGGCCAAAACCTAAAGTTTTACTGTACAAGTGACTGGCCAAAATCTAAAGTTTTACTGTACAAGTTCTGGCCAAAACCTAAAGTTTGACTGTACAAGTTCTGGCCAAAATCTAAAGTTTGACTGTACAAGTGGCTGGCCATTTTATATTACTATCTTTTCCTACATCTTTTTAGATCTGAAAATTTTTTCTTACAATTTAATAAATTGATCCAAAATTAGATACTTGTTAAGGAAAATAACAACATGAATGTGCAAAACATAAATCTATGATCAAACATGTTTCAACAATACTCTTTGGAATTAATAAATATTTTTTGCAATTAAAAGTGGCTCGAAGGCATAATAAGACTGTTCTCTTTTCAATAACTTTGAGAAGGTATGAATAATGTATTAATAATAAAATTTCTTAAAAAAGAATCCGATGGACATAACAGGCCTAACACATGCCAGAAACTTAAAAAACATTAAAGAATTTTCACAAAAAAACTACTACACAAGAGCTATCTGTGTATAGCTATCCTAAATTTTAAACTGATACACTAGGATCAAGGCAGTTACTCATCAGTTCCTATTGTCTACACTTGTCTGGAAGAATTCTGGGATATGACCATAACTTATGGTTCACCCACGGCCCCGAAGTGCGAAGTGTTTTTGCAGTAACAGGACACAAATTATAAGCCCTCAAATTCCATAACATAATCTTTTAAAGTTTTTTGACACCTGAAATTAACTACAAAACATCATCGTATCAATTTGAAAACATTTAACAAGCCACAAAACTGTCTCCTACTTCTAAGTATACTATACATACACGATACTAGCATCTGCTCTCACAATTGGTGCTAAGGTTTCTTCTAAACAAAAACTCAAGAATATTTCTGATCACTAGTTAGTCTAATACTTGAGAAAATATTATCACTACTGATTGAAGATAAAGATTAAAAACATATCTCTTAAAAATGTTCAAGCTACTTTTACTTAAAATGAAAAAACAAACTGTTTTGTCACTGTTAAATGCTTTTCTAATTAGATATTAAGCTTTCAAAGATACTGGTCAGTGAATTAAGATATTTTCTCCTAGAAAGACTTAGACTTAATAAAAAGTCTTTGTAATGTTTCTCAACCACCGGTCTGACAAACAAAACAAAAAACTTAAGAGAATATTCCCATGTAAATCATTTTAACAGTTCAGAAAAGTTCAGGGGGGCAGCAAGATTGTCCCATATTTAAAAGATTGAGAAACACTGGTCTGGAGAATAAAAAGGAAATTACTTCACTGGAATTGCTTTAAAAGAAATATTTACCTATAAAAATTTAGTATAATTTAAAGTTAATCATTAGTTGAAAGTAAAAAAGTCAAACCAAACATATAAAAAAAAAGTTAAACAAAAATGTAAAATATTACTGAAAAAGCATCAAGTTATGAACAAACACGTACACTGTAACTAAAGAAAACTAAAACACAAAGTGTTCCACACTGCAAAGACCCTAATATTCATGCCCTAATGTACATCAAACCATATGTTGAACCATTCTGCACAATCTATCACTATATCGTTTATTTTTAACAACAACAAATGCACAACTGTTTTAAATGTAAAAAGTATTATGAAATTGGAAGTTTAACTTGTTATCAGCCAGCCCCTTACAAGTATTAATAACTGATGAACAACTTTAGGGCTAGAAGATATAAATAAATTATTGATTTTATCACTGAATTTAAATTAATAAAGAATAAATATATATTATCGAACACTTTTATTCATAAACATTTTTAACAGAAAGAAAGAAGTTAGGAACCATTTTAATTTTTCTTTATTTCTTGTGATAATTTTTTTTTTTTTATGTATAGTTCAAACAGTATTACATTTGTCAAAAGAAAACCATACCTTGTAGCCAGGATTGAGTGCTAGACCAGCATAGTAGATCTGATGCCTTGCTTTCCACAGTTTATTTCTTGTTTCAGTATCTGAAGCCCACTGGAAATCTGAACCATTATTGCTTTTTGATATTTCTTCTGTAAATAGACATTCCTAATTTAGCAGTGGTAGACTAAAGAAAAGGCAGCTAGTCAACACCACCCACAACCAATTCTTGAGCTACTCTTTTACTGATGACTAGTGAGATGGACTGTCACATTATAATACCCCCACGACTGGAAGGGTGAGCATATTTGGTGATGGGAATTTGAACCCACAACCCATAGATAGCAAGTCAAGTGTCCCAACCACCAAGTCATCTCAGGTCTCAAACAGATGGCTTAAACAAAAAGTACATTCATAAAATAATATCTTAATGGTTAGATTTCAAATATTACACCAACTAAAATTAAGTCATCATCAGTTTTTTTAAAAGTACACAGATATCAAAGAATTCAAATTCGATGACAAAGGAACCCACTTTGAGACTAATAATGCTTGGATACGGCTAGAATGGGTAATGAAGAAAAACTTTAATATAACATTAACATGACAGCAAATGTACGTTTCAACAAGGTTTTGCTGTCATCAGGTACATCATCGTGATGACAAAACGTTCTAAATTTGCTGTTATGTTAAACTTATATTAAAGAGTTTCTTCATTACCCATTCAAGCCATCTCCAAGCATTATTAGATATTTGAAACGTTTTTTTGGTGTACAAAACTTGAAGATAGCTTTTATATGCGGAAACATCTGTTAGCTGAGTTCTTGCACAGATTTTGAAATATAACGTTGATAAACAGAAACAATGGCACATGTAGATCTTGAAAGTCGATAGAATTAAACAACATGTACTCACATCCATAAGAAATAAGAGTGTGAAAGAAAAGAATTTATCATGTCGCTCCTGTAAAACAAAAGTTCTACCACCAAAATGTGAATCAGCGATTAGCCAGCATTTACTAGTGAACCCGACTTGTGCTGACAACTACATGGTTAGCAGGTTGAAAATTATTGCAAATGGTCTGTCAACCTTTCATCTCTTTATTTTGAAAGCCATCCTTATTAAAACACATAAACCTGTTCTTTGCTGCCAAAAATAATTCCTATACAATCTACACATCCTTCAGTAGGTCTGTGACTTTTCCTGATTGGCTTAACGCTATGCCAATCAGTGATTTCCTTACTGGCCTACGTTGATCTGACTCATTTTATAAGCTGTACTATTTCTTATAGATCATTTTCCAGATGCTTTTTGCTATGATTAGTGTCTGGCAAAAAGCTTCAGTTGATATTTCTTTGGCAAAATCTTTTTTTGTCTAAGCTTTTCACTATTTACTGTGGTTATCTTCAATCAGTCTTGAAATAGTTCAGCAACATGTTAAAGTTCGAGAAGTTGGATAGTTGACTGATTACTGTTCATATAAGGTTATGTGTTTAATACAACATGATTCTCTAACTCCTACAATGCCAGTCTTTTGTTTTAAGGAAATGAGCTGAAAAAAGTTAGATTATTTTTTCACTTTTTGGTAGCCTATATTTATATATTAATTAAACAAAAGTTTGTAGCCTATTCTTGTATATTAATTGAACAAAAGTTGGTAGCCTA